CTGTTACTAAAACATGGCAGAACAGTAGCTAGTTATCAGCACAAAACAAAACTTACATATTTTATATAGTAAAAATTCAATGTTCTTTATTCCTTTGTTAACAAAATATTGTCTCGCTTTGATATGCAACCGTTTTGAGTCGCTTCTCGATATGCGACCAAACAATAAGTTGTTTTTATTCTAGAGCGTTCAATTAAAAATGTTTTTTTTTTTAATTGTAGGTCCGATCATCACGAGAGACAAAAGGTTTCTCGGTATACATTCATTGTCAATTCCTTCCCACCGACTTCCCGAAGTTGGTGTTTTGATTCCTGCATACCGTGCTTGGATTGCAAATCCTTGGGTGAGTATTGGAATTCTTGCTGATGTTTACTGAAAGAACTTCCGTTTAAATCAAAATTGATAAACAAGGTCACAAGAAATTTTGACATTCTAATACATGTATTCCTCAACTTTTCATTTTTATAGGAATTAAAAACACAAGGTAATTGCCTTCTTCAAAAAACCGAAATCTTGAGTGATGAATAATTTTCTACTTAATACAATGTTACAGCAACTGCTGATGGCAAATTAATTTATAATATTCAAGTTCATAAGTTCATGGTTGCTTTACAATATACGAAGGGTTATTCTGATGTTCGGCATACATGTGGTGCTACAATCATCTCAAACTCCAAAATATTAACATCCGCCAGATGTGTATATGGCACTCGTTCGATAACCTTGTTGCTAGCAACTATAAATTCCGATGAGCCCTATTACTCAATCAATGTCAGTGATGAACAAGTCTTCGTTCATCCAGATTATGACGAAGATACTTTTGCAAATAATATAGCGGTGCTTGAAATACCATTAAAATTCAGTTCAAAAGTAGGTAAAATTGATATGATCGAGAAAACTTCATTGGCAAGCATAAAGCCATGCGCTGACGTACTTATGTATGGATACATGGAATCTAACAGCCCCAATCGAACTTATACAGAAACTCATTTACGTTCAATTGACACAAAACTTGCCAATTTTAGCGTATGTCAAGATATATACTCTGGATATGTTAATTTAGATAAAGAAAAACAATTCTGTTTGCAATCTGTTGAACAGTGTTCCGGAGGTATTCGATTATTTTTGCAGAGAAAATCATGAAAAATAATGATTATTTCTATTATTCTGATGTAGGTCCGATTTTAACAAAATCCAAAAAACTTCTCGGCATCATTTCACATTCAACGAATGGATTGCCTGATGTCGGCACTTCAGTTGTTGGACATCGGAAATTCATCAACAACCCAAGGGTAGGTTCAGTGGAAATTTAACTTTTGTGGAAAGCAAATATGCAAAATGTTCGAAATCGGTTTCTGACTGCATCATAAATTGAAAAATTATCACGTTTCTACAACTTTTAGCACTAGAGTTCTATTTTTAGTAATCATGAACATTGAACCGTTCACTATTGTACAGTTCTCTGTAGACACACTGCAATTATGTTCCATAAGAGACTGTATAAAATGCAAAACTATAGCACAGCTAGCGCCACTACGGACAACTATGGAGTTCTAGTCAGTTGTTTGTAACTGAGCAAAAGTCTTTTCACTAGTTGGCGGCAACTTAGTATAGATTACATTGAATTCCGTCGTGGCGCTAGCTGTGTGACACTTTGAGCATAATTTCGGTACGTCTGTAGAGAAAAATGAACAGGATCCATCTTCAAAAATTATTTCTATCACAAAAATTCATTTTTTCTCCCAAGACTAATGATCGCTTGTCTCAAAAATCAATTTGTCACCATTTTGACACGAAAATAATCAGTTTTTTTTTCATTTTATTAGAACTTTCGTCCAGGCAGCACCGCAGGTATTCACTGTTTTTTCATCACAATCGCTTTACAATTGATAGACAATCAGGTGCACGAAGTGTCCGAATCCATTCATATGTTCTTTTTATTAAAAACCAGGTGGGTCAGGAGGACAAACAAGTGTCCCGAGTAGACAGACAAGCAGATCAAGTGGATCAAATGTACCGAGCAGCTCGGGCAGTCAAACAACAGAAAACGAGTTGGTTCGGAAAATTGAAGACAATAAGTACACGGCGGCACTCTTGTACAAAGATGATATTAACGGTGACCGTTATTTGTGTAGTGCGACAATCATAACAAATTACAAAGTATTGGCCGCGGCCCATTGCTTGCATAACAAATATTCAGTGACTTTAGAACTTGGTACACTCGATACAGATATACAGTATTCCACCGTGAATGTTAGCACACAAGAAATATTTGTGCATCCTCAATATAGCGCAGATCCAATTTATGTCAACGACATCGGTAAGATTTTACAACCGGCAAATAGTGATTTTTCCATTAATGCTGCCAAATAATATTTTAGCTGTAATTTTACTGAAGAAAGCGTTGAAGTTTGATTCAAAGATTGGCAAAATTGATATGGTCGATAAAAAGTACGTAATCGATACGGACGATAAAGTGACGTTATTAGGTCATTCCAAAGGTGAGTTGATTGCAAATGAGTATGCTCTATTTTACTGATTCTGTCGTTAAATTCTCAACAGGTTATTTACGATATTTTAATTCCACGATTGCCGGTTTTGTCGGGTGTCGCCGTTCATATTGGGAAAAGAACAATGATAACCCATGGTTGGAAGAAGATCGACAATTTTGTGTTACAGTACATGATGGAGAAGAAAATATTGGAACTGGGTATTCGGGTGGTAGGGATTTACTTTAAATAGAATTTCATTTTAAATATTGACGAAACAAAATTTATTCATTGAAGGGCCCGTTGTAACCGCCGGAGGAAAATTAATTGGGATATTTAGTTACGATTTCAATTCGCTGCCCGAAGTGTGTACTTCAGTTATTGGACACCGCTCATTCATTGACGATCCAAAAGTGAGTTATTTCCATTATTTATACAAAAAACGGGATTAGTTCTGGACAGTTCATTTGACATTTTCACAGAACTTGATAATAATCGACTTAATTTCGATTTAATAGGGATTTTGTGTGAGTGATACTGAAACAGGTAGATCAAATATACAAACGGGAGTTTCAAGCAGACCAACGGGTGGATCGAGCGGCAGTTCAAGTGGCGGTTCGTCAGTCACACAGGCTTCGAACTCAAAGTTGGTGGATAAAATTGAAGATTATAAGTTTGTAGCGGCGATAATATCCACAAAAAGTGGTTCGGGTAGTCGAATTGTTTGCGGTGCGACCGTAGTATCGAGCTTTAAAGTGATGACTGCTGCCTCTTGCGTCATAGATACAGAAGCAGTTGCTTTGATAGCTGGTGCCTTAAATTCAGAAGAACCCCATCAAACGGTGAACATCACTGGGAAAGAAATCATCATTCACCCAGGACACAAGGGAATAGCAATGATCCAATTAAAATCATCTTTAAAGTTTGGCACCAAAATTGGTAAAATTGATCTGGTTAACGTTGATTATAAACCAAAAGATGCAGAAGATGTCAACATTTTTGGTTATTTGGACAATCGATTACATTTTATCAATACAACAATTCATGATTTTGTCGCATCAAGAAACAACGATGATCCGAAGGAGGATTCACAATTTTATATTAGTTCCAGCACCACTGATAATAGACAAAATAGACAATATGCTGGAGGTGAGAAATTCTCATGACGGTTTGCTTCGGCTTGATCATTGGTCATTTGAAATTAAAATCCATAAGACTTTTCAAATATCAAATTATTCATATCGTTAATTCAAAAGACTGAGTTCATTTTTTATATTTAGGTCCGGTTACAACCAATGGAAAGGTGAAAAAACTTATTGGTATAATGTCATATGGCAGCGATGGGTTGCAGCCAGTTTGTACCTTAATCGAAGCTTCGAAATATCGTGAATTCATTTTGAATCCCAGAGTGAGATTGAGACATTTTTCTGTGAAAAGCGGTGTCGGTGGTTCTATTTCACTAATCAATTTTTTCTCCGTTTTCATCGATTTTTCAGATCTATGCAATGAAATATCGACAGAAGAATTAAATCTTTATTTTCACACAATGAAAAAAATATAATAAATTTCAAAAAAAAGTTGTTTATTTTAAGTTTTTAAGTAATTTTGTGTAGGAAAAAGGTCAACAAATTCATTATAATCAAAATTGAGATTTTTTTAGTATGTCTAAAAATGATACCATTTTCAAATTCGATGGAAGCGAAGTAGATAAATTAGACCTCTTGGTACATTTCTACTATCATCCAAAGTCGGACAATCATGGAATTGTATGGTCGCATTACATTTCAAGTTGGCTATGGATTTCAGTAAAACGCCAGTACAACAATTTTCAGGTGGATTCTGTTTCATTCTTATTTCGTAATGAAATCCTGGTCGAACAAAAATTGGTTTCGTCAAAGCAATTGAAGTCCTTGACTTACTTTGCAAATTCGTTTTTCCACTATAAAGTACGATTTCTTCATTTGAACTTCCTGAACGAGAAACTTCAACAATTGCTACTTCGGTTGGTACAGCTTTCATCGGAAAGTATTTTTCGTCACGAAATTTTTGAATTTCGTCGCAAATGATTTTTTTGAGCAAGAGCGGCTGATCAACCGAAAATTTCGTTGTTTCTATGCTTTGGAGAAAGTATGGTTTACTCGAGTTGAAATCTGAAACTACACGATCACAACCAATTCTTCCCATTTCATACCACGGATCTGCATTGCATCGTTTTTCACGTTGTCCATTGAACATTTTCGCCTGGAATTCTTCATCGCCAATCATTTGGATGATGTCTTGGTACTCATCACTTGAAAATGCTTTGCCATACGATGAAACTAATGCAACAAATTCCTCAAATGTCATCGAACCAAATCGAATTTCATATAATAAATCGCCAAGGTGATCGGTCACCGCTTTCTTGTTTAAAATCTCTCGTTTGGATATCGCTTTCACCCAAGCCATGCATGCTTCGAACAGTTCCACCTCGGAACATGATAGCCAGTCCAATCGTAAAATGGCAGCCAAAATATTTCGATCGCATGACAAAAACTCATTGGATTTGAACACAGCACTTGCCTTAAGGCCGATGATTGTTTCGCATGACTTTTTAAGTTCGTCTTTTTCGTAGAGAATCGCCAATCCGTATCTGGTGCAAACGTTCAATTCATCGAGTGTATTCTTCAGGTATTTGGTACACATGGCCACACATTCGTCGACAACGTATTGTTTGCCAAGATTCATGACTGCAGCCACATTTTGTGCTGTCAAAACCACGTCGCCCTTGTAGAAAAACTGTAGGAATTCCTTGAAGGCGGCTGCGGACGTATCGACAATTCTGACTTCATTTTTCTCCTTCCATGACCCGTTAAACATTGCCCGGAATGCAGTGCAGCCCTTTTTTAGAAGAAGCTTATGAGCCGGCACTCGTTCGCGTGGTTCATTGTTCGACTCAAATACGAAGTACACGTCGGCCAAATCACGACTTAAATATAGCTCCTCTCCAATTGTTGCGATCAATTTGCTGTCATATTTTGGCGCAATTGGCTTAAAATCTTCCATAGAAGTGTCTGGAATGGTGTCACTGGTATCGGACATGATGTTACTTTGTTGGTGAAATGATTGTGAATGCAGTGAGATATCGAATGACTATCGAAAGAATTATAATTAAAATTAATTTGTGTAAAAAAACACTTGTAAAAACAAGAAAAACTCACTTTGTGGCGTAACTCTTAGTTTGATGAAGATTGATGTTATGTAAAAATTATGCTTTGGAATACGGAAATAAACTGAAATGAAGTTGAAAGATATCATTTTGGTTGTATTTCGCTTAAACAATTTTATTCGACGCCATATTGCGAGATTTTATTCCGAGAACGGAGAATTTTTTATAAATAGGGAATAATATTGGTTTGGCGGCCACAGCAAATTACTAGAATTCAAAACTTCAATTGAAACCATCTTTTCATAATTTAGGGGGAAAAGACAGCGAACGAGGTATCTAGCAATAAATAAAAAAAAAGGATTTACTCACCTCCGCGATTGTATGTGTATCTCTGTGTGCGAATTAACTTTTTGTTCCGAAATATTCCAGGGGACACCGTACTTTATTTTGGTATAATCAGGGTTTGTACATTAATTGGCTTTATTTATTCAGTTTAATACTTTCACTTGGATGGAAGAATAGATTAAAACACTTTGCTCTGCACAAAATGGAATATGATGACGCAATGACAGAAGAAATATGGTGCAATAGTCGCCATACCCGAATGATATTCGCAAAGAAGGGCGATGAGTGCGCCATCTTAATTCACGACGAGACGGCAAATTGGTGAACAGTCAATCAACGTTCAGCGAATTAGTTAGTTTCGCGCAAAATTTCAAAGAATATAGAGAATAAATCGGATTTCATCGACAAATTGTGGTCATAATTTTTTTCCATTGAATTGGACGAGAAGTAAAGAGGGAATGTTCTATGTTTCTGTACATTTTAATGCCCGCAGATACATAAAATAAAAACATGAAAAGATAAATGTTTGATTTTATTTGAAGTTTATTTTTCTATTCAGAATTATTTGAATTCATTAGATTTTGCACTAAAAATGAGATTAATCGAATGATTTATGTTAAGAACATTTATTTTGGATTTGAAAAAATCTGTTACT